GGCATCCAATCATGCAATATGGTTGCGAAACTTGTCACAGGGCTGCGAATTATAGATGGTATTGACAGACCACTTAAATTATTTTGTGACAATAAAACAGCTGTTGAATTTTCTAACAACAATAGGAGCTCTACCAAGTCTAAGCATATAGACATTAAGTACCTAGTTGTTAGAGAAAGAGTTCAGAATGGTCAGATTTCTATAGAGCACATAGGGACAAACTCCCATATTGCATATCCCTTTATAAATGGTTTACCACCCAAAGTCTTTCTCGAGCACACTGCTCAAATGGGTGTTATTTTGTCTTAGGATATATTAGAGCAGTGGGAGTTTGTAATTTCTATTTTGTTTATGGATATTTGGTTTTAATGCTGTAGCATAAAGCATACAGTTTAAAGTTCTAAAGTTTTATTTTGGTGTGCTTACATTCTAATTTTATATTTGATCTCATTAAATATTAAGTGACCAGTTGGAAATAGACATGTTACAGATCACATTACATGTAATTTCCATGCTACACATCCACACTTGATCCATGTCATTTAGTTATATTAATGTGTGTGACCATTGATGGGTTTAGTTGTCATTCGTGCAACGACTGCTCCTTTGATCCTATGCTAATATAATTGATGGACTAGATTGTTCAAGTTACTTTATGATAGCAAATTTTGCGCGCTCTTAAGTTTACAATGTAATATACAATTATAAGGATTTGTTTAGTATATAGTCCAAGTGGGAGATTGTAAGGTTATTTTGGGCTTATACACTAAATATATAATTGTGTATTATACACTATCATAAAATATAGCCATATTAAAGTGATATAAATTATGTTAACTAAAGTTTTGGGCTAATTATTAATTAAATTAAAGTTGTGGACATCACTGTGTAAAAACTGAAAAGATCAGGGTTCTTTTATGTGATGGGTGGAAAAGATTCCTAACTACTATATAAATGGTTATGGTCCCCGGGTGAGTCTTTATGCCATTAAAAACTACTCCCCATTTGACAGTTAAAAAAAAAAAACATTCTTCCTATGGTTAAAGAAATCATCTGGAAGATCAAACCAAATCTTAAGAGCTTGTTCATCCGCAATGGATTCAGGTAAGCTTCCGCATTAGTTTGGTTCTCGTTATTTGATCTGGAGTGTTAGGCTAAAGGATTTAATCCAACAGTACTAACTTGTGTAGTTGTCCAATTTTTTTTTTTTGAAAGAAAATAACATTGTAATTTCTGAATTATGATGGCTTTAGTACAATCAACAAATTAAATAAAATTTAGTATTTTTTTTCATGGACGGAGGGGTTATCTTATTTATTACTATAGTACTAAATAAGTAGTGGTATTAGACTAGAAATTGGCTTGTAGATAAAAATAAGTAAAAGAAAAATAGGGTTTGCACTTTTCCTTGGAGCGCGTGTGAGATCGGCCGATAGTTATGGCTGGGTTTTGAACGTTTCTTGTTGCATCAAAATGATTCTATTTGATTATAGTAATATTTTAAGAGAGATCTATCGATTATTTTCTGGCGAAAAGAAAGGATTGTATTACTTGCTTCTTTTATTTATTTATTTATTTTTGGGTTTTGTTTCATTGAATCTGAGAGAATTCGACCATGGAAGCCATGAGAAATTGGTCGGGCCTTGCACCGAATATGGTGGCAGAGATAGCATCACACATGCCGGAACTTGAAGATTTCATCGCTTTTCGAGGGGTTTGTAATTCCTGGAGAGCCGCTGCGAGCATGGGTAAGTTTGGCAAGTCATGTTCTAGGGTTCTTCCATTGCTTATGTTCGGGCAAAAAGACGGCGGTGGCAAACGCGAATTTTACAGCCTATCGAAAAGAAAAATCATCATGAGGTTGCCGCTACCGGAGGCAACGTATAAATTCTGTATGGAAGCCAGATTCAGATGGTTGTTAACAATATCGAAATCAGGGGATATTAATCTGTTGAACCTGGCGCGAAAACTCCCAAACATCAAAACCTTGGCTGAATATCGCAAAAAAGGTGGTTGGGATCCCATGGTTTGTTGCATTAAAAGAGCTGTTTTGTCAGCTAATTTATCCCACGCATCAAACTTCGTTCTCGTGGTGATCTGTGGGTTTCACTTCTTGGGATTTTGGAGGCCTAACGACCGGAATTGGATGAGTATAAATTTAAAAAATCATAGATACGACTGGAGGGATATGGTATATAGTAATGATAAGTTTTATGCTTTCAGTGCTAGTTTTAACATAATTTATGGTTGGGATGAATTGTTGTCCGGTAAGGTTAAACCCGCCTACATAATGAAGTTCAGAGGTAATATGTTATGTGATTTGGACCAAGCATATTTAGTAGAATCATCCAACGGTGAGCTACTACTTCTTAAAAGGCTTATAAGGCGTATAAGGGATGTTAGTCCAATTTTCGGGAGAGATTATGATATTAAACCCTATTTTCGGATTGTGACGAAATGCGATTGGAAGGGGATCAGTAGTTTGGGAGACGATGCTGTTTTTATTGGCAACAGCGCCGCGGTATCTATCCCGGCATCCGCCTTTCCCGATGCAATTAAGTCCAATTGCATCTACTTCACACCCGATTATGTAAAAGCTCACGATTTGAGTTGTTCCTGAATCATAAGGAAATGTAGAGACGATGAAGTTTATATTAGGCGTGGAAGACGACGTTTTAGAGACATGGGAATTTATGAGAAGACTGTAGGAAGTTTGATAGAGACGGGAATTTATAATTGCGGACTTAACGTTTGGGCGATTTAGTGGTGTCCCTGAGAATATTGTTGGACGATTTAATGGTCTCCGTGACATTTTTGAGACCTTGATAGTTTACGTAAAGGTGTTGAGTCTTCTTCTATGGATTCTGAATTCAAATGTCCACTCTGGATAGCTCCATCATCATGAGCAGCAGCTTATAATCTCTCATTCAGCAAGAGGGTAAAATTTTATGAAAACATTTATGTTTGTTTTCATCCTTTTACTACGCATTGCCTAAGTGACACTGCTTTTGGCCCAACCTATGATGAGATTATATATTGTTTGTTGGCTCACTCTTAATTTTTTGTTCCCTTGTTTCTCTTTTGTTATTGGTTTTGCTGTATTAATGAATTCGGAGTTCGTAATTCATTAGCATTTTGCATCTTTTTACTTTTTTTGCATTTACAATATCGTCAAGTTAAGCTTTGGTTTATCTTGTTTCAATCCATGAAAATGTGCTTTCGTTTGTAAGAGTAGGAATTATCAGTGTCAGTTATCAGTGTCTCGATCTATAATTTGTCTTGTCTCAAGTTAAGCTCTTATTGAGCAATCATACTGATTTTAATGCTGTTGAAGGAGTAGGCTTGTAAAAGCATCGAAACTTTGGCCAGGATTAGTCACAAGCCAAGATGTCATCATAAACAGAAACCTGGAGGAGATGGTATGAACTATGAAGACTTTTCTGGTGCGGAATTAAAACTGAAGCCCTGGCAGTCCTCTAAGTAGTATACCATGTTGGGATTGTTAATTGCCATGGTTTCTACTAATCCTTCCAGCAGCCCGTTCCCGCGCATTTTCAAGGTTTAGTTTCATATGTGGTTTCTCACCGTGACATATGCTAAGAATGCACTGGAAGAAACTTTGTTTCCTCCATCAAATGAAGGGTTTTATTTCAGTTTTTTTCTTTTCTTTTCCCTCGGTCACTTTTATTTCTTCCTTGATCTTCATAATTTCTGAACTATCAACTCGCACATTAGTATAGTAGTAGTTCTTAAGATGGTACCTTCATCATCACTAAGAAAAACATATCATTATTAGCAGTCCCTAGAAAATCTAAATATTTCCTATAATCAATAAACATGGCGACTTCACAATGAATGCAAAAGTCAGTCTGCGCATCAAAATGACCCATCAAATTCTTCTTAATTAGATAGAAAACCTGGTTAGGACGAAAGAACTGATCATGTCATTTAGATTTGATGAGTCCTATTGATCAGTTGAAGAAGAAGGTATATGTTACAACATTTCAAACTGTCATTCAAGAAATTTAGAAACTGTATCTTGTTACAATCTCTTTAGACCTGAGGAAAAAAAGATCAAATTTCTTAATGTTATTAATGGGCAAAACTAACAATGCTTCTTCTGTAAAAATCATTATTTGTAGGAGACATCTTGCTGCCGTAATTTTCAGTTCATGAAAGAACTCCATTCATTGGGCAAATGGATACTTTGGCCAACAATTTTTTTTCTATCCCAAATTCTCAATCATACCCATAAACTATATTGGGTTTCAAAAACTATATAAGTACTCGTTAAAACTACCATAAGCATTGTTCCGAACCATATTAAAAGCTCCTGTTGATCATTAGTCAAATATAAATATGAAATCTATAGTATATAAACCTGGACTTAGTAAATAATAATGTTATACCTATTCATTAGTCAAATATGAATCTGAAATCCAAAATAAATATGAATCGTTGAAATCTACAATTTCAACCTGGACTTAGTCAAACAAAACTACTTGCAACAATCTGAAATTTAACTTACCTCAAGACTAAAAAATCTCTAACAACCTAGAATAAATATAACTTAAAACTACAAATTATCTCTAACAAACCAGGAATTTATGGCTTACAAAGTGGAAGCATTTACACCAGTTTTCACACTCAAGCCTCTTGCATGGATCTTTCCCTATAAAAAGCGTAACATAAAGGCAGTGCAAATCATTCCAATTCAGTTGTTTCTCCTCCTCGAATTAATGAGTGAGAAAGATAGCAGTTAGAGGGGGAAAAAAAGTTTTGCGTGTTATTCTCTTATTATAGGAGAGAGTAGAGAGACTTGTGCGACAATATATTCTTACTCTTTTTGTGAAAGTTCTTCGCAAGTACCTGACCCGTGGGTTTTTCTTTTTTTTTTTTTTCTTGAGAAGGACCCGTGGGTTACTCCTGTCTCCATTTTGTCCTCAATATTACAAAACACCAATTTTTACAATAGAAATCCAAGACCCGCGCTTTTGTAGTCTACTACTGAAAAGTGAAAAAATCAACGATCCGAACTTGTTTCCCTCATCGACCCAAGAGTCCGACGTGGGATCCGTGTCCGAGCCTCGGTTTTCATACCCATCTGTCGAATGTGCTGGTGGGAACAAGGAAGTGTCGGATAATGTTGTTGTCGACTCCTCCAAGACCAAAATAGCGAACCAAGGGTCCAACTGCACACTATACTGCATCTCGAATAAGACCGCATACCCGATCCAGTTTTACGACGCCTACGGCGACAAGGACTATTTCATTCAAACCGGAGAGGACAAATGCCCCGAGGTGTGGCTCCCACTTGCGACGGAGACACCTTCCTCTTTACATATCTTATACCCTAGGGGTGGTCCGTCACGTCAGTTGGTGACTTTGTACGGCAAAAGCGACGGCGACCAACTCATCACCGTTGCAAACGAGACCGACTCTGTCTCTTTCCCGACACATATCAAGGTTCCTTTCGTCTCAAGTAAAGGTTGCCTTACCATCAAGGGGGCACATCCTAAGTACCGCATCGAATGTTATCGCCACGTCCCGGGTGTCGCTGACGATTTCATGGTTGAATTCAAAACAACCCTGCGCTGATTTTTTCGACCGTCGATGACAATGATGTTGGGTGTCCGTAAAACACCACGCCGCTGAGCGCATCCTAGCGGCCCATGGAAGATTGGGTTCCAAGCATATGCGACAAGTGTGAGTTCCTGAGGGCTGAACTCATCTCCTCTTTATACTACTACTATTAGTAAGATGTAATGTACCAGTAAATATTAATTAGCTACTCTCTCGGTCCAAAATTTTTTTTTTGTCTATATTTGAGTTTTGAGATTTATATTAAAAATGGTACAAATTTTCAAATTCACTGTAGACTATTTTTGTAGCACATACGGTTTATTATAATAATAAATGCATACAAATTGTATTTTGAATTGTCTGATTATGTGTTAAGTTGTTAAAATTGAAACATCAAACAATTAGTTACCATCATTCTAACAACCTGGTAATACTACAATTTTATCTCAAATATTGGATTTTCATCTTCACTAAGAAAAAGATATCATTATTAAGGGTCCCTCGAAAATCTAGATGTTTCCTATAAATCAATAAACATGGCGACTTCATGATGAATGCAAAAAGTCAATCTGCGTATCAAAATGACCCATGAAATTCTTCTTACATCGACGACCTGGTTAGGATGAAAGAACTGACCACGTCATTTAGATTTGATGGGACTTATTAAGTTGAAGAAGGGGGTATGTGTTACAACTATTTCAAACTGTAATTAAGGATATTTAGAAGCTGTATCTTCTTACTATCTGTTTCAAAAAATGTAGTATATATTAATCGACAAAATTAAAAAAGGCTTCTTCTATTCAAAAAATCATTATTTTGTAGGAGACATCTTGCAAGCCTAACTTTCAGTTCATGAAAGAACTCCATTTACTTGGAAAATGGATACTTCCCCGCAAAATTCAAAAAAAAAAAAAACACACACACACACACACACACACATACACAGCCATAAGATTGCAATTCGGCTGATACTTTAAACACACCTACAATATAAACGCTCAACACCACTCGATAATGTATCCAAATCATATTCAGAGTATATTGGATTTTGTCAAAAAGATAATTATTTGAAGCTCGTTAAAACTACGTACTATGACTATGAGGATTGTTCCGAACCATATTAATTAATGGTTTCTGTTGATCATTAGTCAAATATGAATCTTAAATTTATATAGTATAAACCTGGACTTAGTAAATAATAATATCAGATTCATTAGTCAAATATGAATCTGAAATCTAAAATAATATCAATAATAACAAAATATGAATATATTGAAATCTGAAGAAATCAAAGCCAATTACCTTGAAATATGAATATATTGAAATTAAAGTATATAAGTACCTTGGGCTATCATCTCAAAATCAATTGGCAATGAGTGGGGTGGCCTTTGACACTTATATACTGAGTCACTTCTTTTTATGGCGGCGATGTGGGACAAGATAATATACCTTAATACCCTCCCTTAAGTCCAATGGTCTTTGAACTTTTTGTCCAATGGACTTGGATCAGGACAACAACATAATAGCCCATGAGTCAATGCTCAAGTGAGAGAAAGCCAGTTATACCACTGGTTCGGTCCACAACAAGCCCACGAGTCAACGCTCAAGTGGGAGAATATAAAATCATCACGGGTTACCTCCGGCCCAGAACTCTATCACAGGCCCAACACGCTCTGATACCATGAAGAAATCAGAGCAGTGGAAGAGGCGGCTGGCATTCATCATCAGCCGAAAATAATATTACGATCTAATTAGGGTTTAGTGCAACATATATATATATATATATATATATATATATTAGTTTAAGCCGTAACTAGGTAAACCTACACTGTAAATACACCAACTAATATTTACATCCGTAATAAAATCTATAGTACAAGCCTGGACTTAGTCAAACAAAAGTACACTTGCAACAATCTAAAATTTAACTTATCTCCAGACTAAAAAAGCTATCTCTATCAAACTAACTCCACTCAAAACTAAAAAAGTATCTCTAACAACTTGGCATAGTTTTATTTATTTATTTTTTGGTTACAAACTAACAATCCTAGAATTTAACTTAACTCTACACTAAAAAAGTATCTCTAACAAACCTGGAATTAGTTTAACTTAGTATCAAGACTAAAATGCAAAAGCATTCAGACCTGCGGGTTTTCACACCCAAGCCTCTTAATTGGATGGATCTTCCCTATAGAAAACCTAACATAAAGACATCGCAAATCATCCTAATAATTCAGCCGTTTCTCCTTGAGTGAATAAACTAGTTTTTTTTCGTTTTCCCCTCCCGTGTCGTTTTTGTCCCTCAGTATTACAAGCTCTAGTTTTACAATCTACTGAAAAGTAAAAATGAATCCACAATCCAACACGGAATCCATAGAGGATGCCGCCGGTTCTCCGATTCTGTACCCATCTCTTGAATGTGCCGGCTGGAAGTTGGAACAGTCGAAAAATGTTGTTGCCGAATCGGGCAAGACGACCCGATCATCAAACCAGGGGTCCAACTGCACGCTCTACTGCATCTAGAATAGGACCCAATACCAGATCCGGTTCCACGACGCCTACGGAGGGCAAGACTATTACATTAACCCAGGACAGGAGAAATGCCCCGAGGGGTGGGTCCCGATTGTGTCGGAGACACCTTCCTCTTTCCATCTCTTGTCCCCTCGAGGTTCCCAACATCAGTTGGTGACCCTGTACGGCCAGAGTAACGGCGATCAGCTCATGATCGTGGCCGATGACGTGACTCCATCACGTTCCCGACTCATATCAATGTGCCTCTCGTCTCAAGCTGTTGTGGTGGGAAGGGCATAAACACAACACACTACGGAAGCGAATCCCAAGAAAATCTCCTTTCCTACTACCAATAAAATAGGACAACCAAACAAGCAAAATAATTCAAGAACTGATAAAATAAAGAAGGCACATGAATTTACGTGGAAACCCAAATCGGGAAAAACCACGGGACTATAACAATAGTCAAATCTCCACTATCACAATAATGGAAAAACAGTCTTCACCAACCGGTGGATACACAAGACTTCACCCAAAGGTGGATTACAACAATACTCTTCCACACACACAACTATCACAAAGTAGGACTGGAAGGATCTAACCAAAAGAGAGTTAAACCGAAAACTAAACCCTAGCTTTCTTTCTTTTTCTCTCGCACAAAACCCTTGCGCGGCTGCCTAATTCTCCTTCTCTCTCAGCTAAAAAATATACCCAAAAGGTTGTGTGTAACATTGCTTTTATAAGCATAAAAAAAACCAGAACCAAAACCCAAAGGGTTTTGTTCTCCCCGGTCGGTCAAGAAAACCAAAAAACCAAATTGATTTGGTTTCAATCACTGCTGGGCCCAATTTGAGGGGAACTCGGGCCCAACAATCTCCCCTTTCACCTCAATTGGGATAAAACCAAACCCGTTTCCTGTCTGCAAAACAGGAGCTTGTCTCTACTCACAGTCTTTGTCAACATATCGGCACCGTTGTCATCTGTATGAATCTTCTCAAGAAACAACGCCTTGGACTCTAACACATCTCGAATCCAATGATACCTAACATCAATATGTTTTGACCACGAATGAAATGTGGAATTTTTTGCTAAGTGAATAGCGCTCTGGCTATCAAAATACACCACATACCTCTCTTGCTTCATGCCAAGCTCTTGTAGAAACTTATGCAACAAAAAGTGCTTCCTTACAAGATTCAGTAACTGCGATAAACTCTGTCTCTGTAGTAGACAAAGCAACACACTTTTGCAACCTACTCTGCCATGAAATTGCTCCCCCTCCATAAGTCATCAAGTAACCAGAAGTAGACTTCCGACCATCTAGGTCACCCGCCATGTCAGCATCTGTATATCCATCTAACATGGTCTTCCCATTGCCAAAGCAAAGACTCAATTTGGAAGTACCCCTAAGATATCTGAGAATCCATTTCACAGCATTACAATGCTCCTTACAAGGATTGGAGAGAAACTGACTAACAACACCAACTGCATGAGCTATGTCTGGCCTTGTGCAAACCATCGCATACATCAGGCTGCCAACTGCCGAAGCATAAGGAACCTTTTTCATCTCTTCCTTATCTTTCTCACTTTTAGGACACTGCGTTTTGCTTAGCTTAAAATATCCTAAAAGTGGAGTTGAGACTTCCTTAGCACCGCTCATGTTAAATCTATCAAGAACCTTCTCGATATACTTCTCTTGAGATACCGAAAGCTTCCCATTCTGTCGGTCACGAGAAATCTTCATCCCAAGGATCTGTCTAGTCCGACCCAAATCCTTCATTGCAAAGGATTTATTCAACTCCTTTTTCAACCTGGCAATCTTTGCAGTATCATGACCAACAATCAACATGTCATTGACATAAAGCAAAAGTTTTATAAAATCACCATCAGAGAATTTCTTCACAAACACACAGTGATCAGCTGTAGTCCTTTGGTATCCCTGCCCTATCATAAAGGCATCAAACTTCTTGTACCATTGCCTCGGAGCTTCCTTCAACCCATACAAGCTTTTGTTGAGACGGCATACAAAATTCTCTTTTCCCTTCTCCTGAAACCCATCTGGTTGCTCCATGTAAATCTCTTCTTCCAAATCACCATGCAGGAAGGCTGTCTGAACATCAAGCTGTTCAATATCAAGATTCATGCTGGCTGCTATCCCAAGCACAACTCGGATTGAAGACATCTTTACAACAGGAGAGAATATCTCATCAAAGTCTACGCCCTTTCTCTGATTGAATCCCTTCACAACCAATCTGGCTTTGTACCTCGGTTGTGAGCTGTTCTCACTTGTTTTTAGTCTATACACCCATTTATTCTTGAATGCTCTCTTGCCCTTAGGCAGCTTCACCAGGTCATATGTGTTATTCTCATGTAAGGATTTGATCTCATCTTGCATGGCTGCTAACCACTGATCTTTCTGCTCATGACTAAGAACCTCTTCATACGACTCTGGCTCTCCCCGATCAGTTAGCAAAAAATACTCATAAGCACTGTACCTGGTGGAAGGT